TTATATTACAATACATAATGCACAATACTACATTAAAATACAAGACAATACAGTACAATATATTGTGAGATATTTTTCAGTCTGGCAATTTTTTACTAAAGTTATAAAAGGGACTCCATAAAATATTACTTTAAAAAAAAAAAAAAAATCATTATTGCTAAATATTCCCTCTGGACCAAAATGATTCTTGCTTGAAATCATTGTGAGTGTTATTTTCATATTGGGAGGTGATATTATTTCTTATACTATGGATGTGCGTAGATACTGCAATTTGTTTTTATCAATTTCATGTTGAATTTGAAATGATCATATCTGTTTTTCCATTCTACAGTGATTTGCAAGCTGTTTTGATACACTATTTCACAATTTTAAAAAACTGTTTTAAAAATTGAAAGCTTTGGGAATAGTTATTACTTAAAGCCATGTTTGTATTTCTCTGAATATACTCAACTAGGAATAGCTCTTCGTTTTTAATAAACACTGTACAGTGCTACGGAATTTGTTGGCGCAATATAAATAATATAATAATAATAATAATGATAGAGGCTCTCTAAACACAGCCCTTCTTTTTAATACACATATGATAGAGGCTCTCTAAACACAGCCCTTCTTTTTAATAAACATATAAAGAGGCTCTCTAAACCCAGCCCTTCTTTTCAATAAATATATGATAGAGGCTCTCTAAACACAGCCCTTCTTTTTAATAAACATATGATAGAGGCTCTCTAAACACAGCCTTTCTTTTCAATAAACATATGATAGAGGCTCGTGTCATCTGAGCTATTTTTCCTTCTGTGTAACTGAGCTAAGTAAAAGTAACAATTTATCAATTATCAGCTACTGTCAAAATCACAAAAATAGCTGTGCTTTCGGTTCCAGTGAGGATAATACATTGTAGAACAGGCAAGATTATATCATTTTCCTCCACTGCAAATTGTCTATTGTAGAACGTTAAATGTCACTGCCATTGTATAGAGCAGGGTGATAAAATCCTATTGTAGATATAAACCACTTTTGGGGGGATATAATGTGTGTGTATATATTTAATATTTCTTTTTACTAACTTTTAGAGCATCTACTGGTTTATTCTTGGTCCATGTGGGGGACCATCTTTAAATAATTTTCAAGTCACTGACTAGAGTTTGTTAGTTTTCACAAATATTGATTGCATGGCTTCAGGTATCTCAAAAACTCACTCTGAGCCGAGCTGGTTCAAGGGTGAGCAAGGATGTCCTCTAAAAACAGGTATTAACATCCTGGGTAAAATACATATAAAGGGGTATGTATATTTCAGGTAATAGTGAAAAATAATCATAAGATTAATGATGCTTGAAGAAAAAAAATCACATTAATGAACCCTTTGTTTAATTTTATTTATTTGTACCTTAAAGCATTACTCCAACCAAAAATCAGTGTCTTCATTAAAAAAAATTGAGTCATTAGTTACGCAGGATCTTGCAAACACTTTTACTCTACTTTGCTAAAGTAATAAAAAAAATCTATAATATTTGAGCCTTTTATCTCTCAAATAATTTCAGGCAGGCAGGTTCGGAAATACATTTAAAAATGCTAAAGGTTCTGTAGGTGAAAGGGGCTCCGGTAAATATCACACTTGGAGGGCACTTTTCAGAGACTAAAAGCAGATTCTCTAAATAAATTCGTTCCCAAAGGAAATTTCTGTAGATATTCATGATTTTACTGTAAGTCCATCATGCTTCCATTTTTAAAGAGACTGATTCAATAGTTAAGAGAAATAACCAGACACGGGAATATGGTTTGTGAGTGCAATTTGTTCAAACTTAACACATTTTATTTGACATAATTCCTAAATAGAATTCTCTCTACCTGATATCTCATGAAAGTGTCATTCTGATCCCAAAGGATTGTGGTTTGCCTCACCGCAAGTTAGATCACAGAGAGGTACACTTGCCTGGTGATTGAAAATGCGCTTCTCTTTTATTAACTTAGACAATTTTCATAATTGCTGTATTATTGACAACGCGAATACTGGTGGGAGAATCTGGTTATAGTAGATGTCGTAGAAAATGAACAAATTAATTAAAAATGTCTGCAATGGATCTGTTTATCATCCTGGCTGACTATGCATGAGAAATAGGATTGCAGAGAGAATTGTCAAGTTGAAAGGTTGACTGGAGGGATGGACACACGATAGACTTCTCTAGGTACTACAAAGACTGTGACCCTTATATATATATATATATATATATATATATATTTATTTTTTTTAAATTCAAAAAGTATTTTATTCATAGCAATTTGTGTACATTTGCAAGAAGGAATGCGAAAATATGACATGACATGCAAGAACAAAAGAACATGCCTGCATTAAACGAGCATAGTTAACTGCAAAGTGATAATATTATTCAATCTAATGTTGAATATGGCTAAGTATGAAAATATCCACTTGGGACTCCTGCGTCAGGAGATTGTTCTTGAGTAGCTGGAAACTAAAAAGGTGTAATCCGATGTTTACTGGTGTATATGTGGTATGTGGTGTATGTTTGGTTTTTGGGTGCAGGTCAAAGTAGGAGTATAGAACCAGACGAGGACGCTTGGTACAAAGAGAGAGAAGAAAGACAGGGAGAAGGAGAAGAAAGGGGGGGGGGGCGGAAATCACACCCACCTCACCACGCATATGCCAAGGTAGTAGGGAAATTGAAGGAACAGCATATACCATTCTTCCCATCCCGCCCCCCCCTTAACCCAGGCGACACAGAGTTTTTAAGTGCTGTATCCCAGTCTCCCTTGCCATACCCCCCCATCCCCGTACTAATGTGGCCAATTTCTGCTCTATGAGGGGTTGCTGAGCTTACCTAAAATCAGTGTGTATGGCATGTCGGTAGTTTGATCAAAGTTTATTATTCGTGCTGCCCATGAAGAGGGTAATTTGTCCTCCAGTCTTACTGTCCTTCCTAGTTTGAAGGCTTCGCTCCTCAAGCCAGGTGACACCTCTGTCTCTAGGGTGTATTTACAATCTCGTTGAGAACCATTGGAGCCAGTGGAACCATGTCTCTTGGTATTTTTGGCGCTTGCCTCCCGCTGTGAGCATCAGTTCTTTGATACCTCTAATGTCTTCAACTCTGTTTATTCAGTCCCTCAACGAAGGGGCCACTGTTTGTTTCCAGGAGCTTGGGGTTAGGCTCTGTGCTGCGTTTACCAGATGTGGACGTATTGATTTTTTTGTATTTAGTAGGTGGAAGTTGGTTGAGATACAACAGATTGGCATCTGGTGTAAGGTCTATGGAGGCATCTGTCAGTGTAGATATGATGTATCTTTTTCAGGAAAGGTTGGATCCGAGGGCATGTCCACCATATGTGGAACAAAGTGCCTAGTTCCTTTTCACACATTTAGCATTCTGGGGTGCAGACGTCGCTCATGGTAGCAAATTTCTCTGGTGTTTTGTACCAGTGAGATATCATTTTATAGCCCAATTCTTGGTATTTTGTACATATGATTGATTTGTGTGTGAGCATGAAGGCGTTGGTCCATTGTTCATACAATGTCCCAGGTCTCTCTCCCAACACTTGGTGTAAAAGGGGAGCTGTTGGTCTTGTCGTGGGGAGATTAGTAGATTGTATAGCATTAATGGTGTAAAGTGAGAGTTCAGGGTGAGCCATTGTTACCTGATAAGGAGGACGGGGGGTGCGGGAAGAGGCAGCACCATAGTGAAAAAGGAGGAAAAAGAAAGGAAAAAGAGGAGAAAGAAGAGAGAGAGAAAAAAAGGGGGGAGAGGAGAGGGAGGGTAAAGTAGGAGTTGCCGTATCACTCGTACACTCCCTCTCACAGCAGTTTGTCAAAGGTAAGATAAAGTGGGGGAGGTGAGACAGTAGAAGGGTAAGGGGCAGGAATTGTAAGTAAGGGAGAGCAGTGAGGGGAGGAGCGTAAGGAATCCAGTATGTGTGTTTGGCATGTGGGAGTTATAGGATGAGCTGTGTGACTTAAGAAAAGGGGTACTTTCCCTCTGGAGACAGGGGACAAAAGAGCAAACAAACTCCCTCTGCCCAGCTCCAGCAGCACGACAATAAACCTGTGGGGGCGTGGGTAGGTGCAATTGGGAAGCTCTAGTGAACAAATTGAGAGAAAGAAAATAAAAAGTGTTTCAAGTAATTGTAAGTAGAAATGTAGAGCCTGTCTGGACACCGCTGCCCAAGAGCAATCATTGGTGGTTCTTGATGTATGAACAATGGACCAACGCCTTCATGCTCACACACAAATCCACCATATGTACAAAATACCAAGAATCGGGCTATAAAAGGATATCACACTGGTACAAAACACCAGAGAAATTTGCTACCATGAGTGACATCTGCACCCCAGAATGCTGGATGTGTGAAAAGGAACTAGGCACTTTGTTCCACATATGGTGCACATGCCCTCGGATCCAACTTTTCCTGAAAGAGATACACCATATTATATCTACACTGACATGGGTAGAGTAATAAGGTATATAGGAAATACATTATGCAAGCATCATATTTGTAGACAACTCAGAACATGTAACATCTCATAAGATTAAGCTAACTATTTAACCGGTATACTTTCTTAGGCCCCCCTGTGGGTCCCCACTGTTCGTAGCGTTATATGGAATATGAAAAGGTTTATATCAATCACAGTCATGCATTGGTAAAAAATATTTAAAAAAAAACTAAATTATAGAATCAATAATTTCACCATAATGTTCCATCCTCAATAATAGTACAAGCCTAATATTCTCCCCCGTCATTCAAAGGTAAGATATGATCAATTTGACCGGTGACAAAGAGAACAAAAAAATAAAAATGATATTAGGCTAAACAATACCAACAAGGAAATATCTGTGCGTAAGAGTGTGAAAAAGTTTTGAAGGTGTGGATATCACACCATTGGGCCCACAGAAATAGGCCCTTTATTCTTCCGGTCTTGCCACTTGTGGTGGACCGGAGTCTGAGTGCAGGTCCTCCTCATTGTGCAGTGTGCAGTCTGCCTGAGAACCTCTCATTCAGGGGGCACTCTGACCAATCATGTACCTGGATCTCAGGCAACCCCAATGTGTCCAAAAAGACTGGGACATCAGGTGGTTGTTCCGAATGGTGGCTTCCGCATTGCCCCTTCTTGCCGTAAGTGCTAATGGGAACTGGCACCAGTATCTAATTTGGTGTGATTGCAGGGCAGAGGTAACAGGCCTCAGTGCCTGCCTTATTTGCAAAGTGATGTGGGACAGGTCATTAAAGAGTTCAACTTCTTGGCCTTCAAACTGCCAGGATCTCACAGTCCTTGCTCTTCTCATTATGTCATCTTTGGTTTGAAAGTCCTGCACACAGCAGATTATATCTCGTGGTGGGGTGCTTGGCATAGGTCTGGGGTGGAGTGCACGGTGCACTCTGTCAATGCGGAGTCGGGCGTCAGATGGTCGGCCCAGTATGAGATTAAATAGGAGTGCCAACACAACCCGTAGATCCTCCTGGTTCTGTGCATCACGTAGGCCTCTCACCCTGATATTATGCCTGCGGCTTCTGTAGTCCAAGTCTTCAATATGTAGCCTTAAGTCTGTGAGTTGCCTTGTATGTTGGGCAATTATAGGTAGTGCTGGGCATGAGGCTTCAGGGCCTGCAGACTCCAAGGCAGTCACTCTGCTCTCCAGTGCTGATAGGGAGGTGCGGAGAGTTGCCATCTCTGTCCGAAGGGTTAGTTTCACTTCTCTCCTCTTCTTCCGGAGTGAGGCGAACAGGGAGTACCAGTTTGGTCCAGCAGGGTCTAGAGTGTTGGTATCTGCCGAGGATCCCTCTCCAGAAAGTGAGGAGCTCGGAGAGGAAGGCACCATTTACGATGCCTCGTGCTGCGAGGTAAGAATTCCCAGGGTTTGGAGGTAGCTGCGGATAGAGGCACACTGTCTAGGTGTCAAGGGGGTCATTTGGGTGCGTTTGGTTCGACCCATGGATACCATAAATGTGCTGATGGTAACTATATTAGACAGCAGGGGCACAGAGCTATCTGTTTATGAGGCCATCTTCGTCCAGCACCAAGACACTCCCCCTTGACCTTTATATTTTCATCAACATGAGGAGAGTTTTATATATTGCATATGGCAAGAAGATATGCAAATATGACACTTAGGCCTCAATTTAATATTTTTGGATAAGCTTTTGAAATGATCACAATCTGTTAGAAAAACCTTTCAAATGATGTATCTACCAAAATTTTCATACAAATTAATGATCACTTTTGCAGATAAATCCGATAGGAATCATTTGAAAAGCTTATTGAAAAAAATAAAATCGAGGCCTTGCTCTCTGTGCTTTCTCTTAAACATACGCATTTATTGCATTCGTCTTTAAACAATTCGTTGGCCAATGAATCAATTTTCGGAAACAAATACCTTTTAGTTTTTTTTTTAATAGATAACAAATAATGTTTTTGTTTGTTTGATGGTTTTGAGCTAGAATACTCAACTTTTTTTGGTCATTTAAAGACAGATACAAAGGTTTACTTTGCATCATATAAGTCATAAGTTAAATAAAGAGAGCAGCCAGTACAGGTTTAAAAGTTGAAAGCATGTTCTCAACCATGGTTTGTGTATATGGCGACTGACTTATGATGCTCGAATGGAATACGGATACAGGGTGCACGTGGAGGGGCTCGGCCTTTCACGCAAGGGAACTCTCTTTGCTTATTCTTTATCTGTCCTCTTATTCAGCTTTAGTGAATTGGAGACACTTGCAGGGTTATTTACTAAAATGAGAATTCAAAGTGAATTTTACATTTAAGGTCAGAGTATGCGACTTGAAAGCATAGCGTTTTTCCAGTTTGACTACTGTGACCTTAAATTTGAAATTCACTTTGATCTCTCTTAATGAATAACCAGGCAATCCTGATAGCACTTTCCTTGTACACATTGTGTATCCAAGCCCAACCTGGACTTTCTGAATGCTTGGGAAGGTAAAATTAAACTTTCGTACACGCTATCAAAAAGGGTTGGTTGTGCTTATACCTCTATACTTCAAACTACATTTTCCGGTAGCTTCTATTTTCCATATGGAAATATAGACTATATAGGGTCTTCTTTCAAGAACCATCAAAAAACAGGTTGGCAAAAGGTAAACATTTTGCAACTAGCTCCATCATGAAGGCTTTTAATGGCCGATGTCTGTAATAACAGGGGAAAGATCATTAGCAATGAATAAATAATAATTATTTAGAAGCAAACATTAAAAGTTTATTTAGCATGTAAGACACATGTTTTTTTGTGGCACTTATTTTACCGAAATCATATTCCGTCTTATATTTGAGATGACATACTACCTTGCCATTTAGCTGCCTATAAAATTGGGCCTGAAACATGGAACAGCATATACCAGATTTCTAGAATGTCAACTCAAATTACATCCTGTTCGGCCAATCTATCCGGTCCCGTAGAATAAAGTCAGTGAACCGTGCAGCATAATGAGAAATGACAGGATGCAATATAGGCTGTATTATTGGTGACGTTTTAAATAAGCAAAATATGAGATTGAGATCTGCATGCCTTTTAGGTAGCTATACTGGTTAACATTTGAATTGCACATCTACATGCCAAATTAAAATTAATACAAGATGTAGTTCATGCTGACAAATAATTTGTCACGTCCTGAGATTTTGAAGGAGCAGCTTACTTAATATCAGTTATATAGCTCAGTTGGTTGAAAGACTGATTCTAGTTTTCACAGGTTTCACGTTAAAGAGGCAGTTAGAATAACATCAAAAATTGCATCCCTTGATAGTTATGGTGCTTGTAGGCTTTTGGTGTCATTCCCCTGTTTTAGGAGTTTTCACCAAAACCAAGTGTCCCCAAGAAATCTATTTTTTACCTACTCTGCCTTTAATCAAACCACAAATCAGTGTCATTGTGAAACAAAAGTGCTTGATAACTTAAAGTGGCCCTGTAACCCTAAATTTACCATGCTTCAATCTGTTCCTCTTCTTTTCCTCACTCCTAATCTAGAGGCAAGTTTTGTCAAGTTTTGTAACTCCTGCTTCCATTGCTAGAGGCGGTGATGTCTTGCTCATCGCAGTATCTACTGAGACTACTGTGATCTTGTGGGATCCTCCATAGACATGAGTGCTGTACTCTCGTGCATGTGTCATAATACAGCACTAACATTGGCTCCTGGTGCATGAAGCATCAGGAACTAAAGAAATAAGGTGGTGGTGCCCATAGAGGACAGCGGCAGATAAGTATATCTACCCTTCCCTGCACCTCTGGGACACCAAGCAGAAATGTTACATCTTTGGTCTTTAAAAAATATGTAAAGACCCTAGCAGGTGACAGAGCTGCTTTAACAGTGATAAAAACCTTTGTGACATAATGTGCCCAAAATTCAAGGATTAAGATTAATCCATTAATTATAATATACATTTGGCTATAACGTATGCACATTGTTACTAGCAATGTTTAACAGACCTAATGAAAGTATATATATAAATATATATACACACACACAGGCAAAACCAAACATTTTGACTGTACATAATACTCTGGGGTGTTTTGTTTCTACAAATATGTTCTTAGATCCCTCCATTAAACTTTCTGTCCAAGCTCACCACATTGTGACTTATTCTACCTTTATTATTCTTCTGGAATCCTTGTCATATGACATATGAGGAATTTGCAAACCTAGGGCAAATCTATTTGAGGTATATTTATATATTGTAAATTGCTAATGATAATATCTGGCTACATTTGCAAAGGTTGAAACAGCATTATGGGATTTGTAGCTCAACAACATTTGAAGCATACGAATCCTTGTTCCAGATGACCCAGTTAATTTAATAGTGGTACTCCACCTTTAACCAGGTCCCATACTTAGGAGAAAGTTTTACAATGTGGCTGTAATCAAACACGAACCAAGAAAAAGTTATATTATGAGAAAAGCTGTGAAATATAATTTATATTATTCAGCGTTCTACAGACACCATGCATATTGCAATCAAATATTGCAATTTCATATTTCACAATCTGTGCCATGAAATAGACTCTGTACACAGCACGTTATCTGACCACATAAATATATTTTTACCTCTAAACGTTTAATATTCAGAGGGGTCTAAATTATATCAGTGACCTCCTAGCTAGTATATAATACTTCGAAAACAGGAAACGCACATCAGCTGCCTGCTCGAGCTCAAAAATCAGGTTACGGTTTCACATAACTGCACTTTTAAACTCTTTAATATTTTAAAATCATTGCCACTCTATAAATATATACAATATAATTCTGGAGAAAAAAAATTGAAAAGAAAATTAAACTACTCGTTAATTTCTTTTTTTTTTTCACTAAATTGTTTCATACACATTTCTGCTGTAATTTAGGGTAGATTTATTAAAGTGATATATATATATATATTTTTTTTTTCTGAGTTGTTCAAAGCCTGTTTTAATTTTTTAATTTGTTTTACGTGTAGTCTGAAAAAATGGCACCTTTCTTATTTGTGTATTAAACAGTCTTCTGCACTTTCAGAATTATGCCTCACTAACACTACTATTGGGTTTTGTTTTGTGGAAAAAAAAAAGGCCTAAATGTTAATATATGGAAAGACAGAGCCTGTAGTTGTGTGAGAGGTTCATCCGGCCCATAAATTCACAGGCCTCCCCTTCCTCTGGGCTGAGACAGAACCATCTCCTTCCAGTTCAAATGTCATCAACACAAACTACCTGAAAGTTCCAAAAAGTCCCCAAACTGCTGTAAAAAATGTCCAGAATGGCTCCAAAACTCAATGCAAAAGCCGCTCCAACACCTCCACACTCAAGGCCACGTGCTCCCCACAGCCTCCAGCATGCAGGGGGGCGGCAATATAAACCTCCCAGGTGCAATGCATCCTGGGGAAACTTGATCTGCATTGCAAAAACAATTCATAAACTGAGGCATTATTTTCAATGGAATTTCATTTGTAAACCGAAAATTATGCTAACCGAGTTGTTTGTAAACCGAGGTACCACTGTATTCATTTGAGTAAAAAAAAAAAAAAAGCCAGCCCTCCCTCGAAGCTCATGGGGCACTGCCACATACGGCCCTGCCACGGCTTTTCCTGTGGCTGTTCGCATGTTTTTTTTTTTTTTCAACAAAACCGCAAGTTTGTTCGCTTTGGTCCACGTTGGGCCACGCTGTCACTGACATTCCACACGTATTTAGCCCACATATGGCCTTTCACTAACTAGGATAGCATTAACATTTCAGTCCGTATTCCTTCCTCACTCAGATATGGCGAATTTCACTACTAACGCAAATACGTCTTATTTCAATCACAGCATCACCTTGATACCTCAATTCGGTTCATGCATTATGCTTACTGTATTTGAACATATCATATTTTAAAATATGCAATTTAATTAGTCACCCTACGTTCTTATGTATAATAAATGCTACGCCATATTCCATTTTCATATTTGTAGCTTATTATAGTCGGCCCACATGGCCTCGGGTATACTTATTAGCATTTGTTACTTATTTTCACCAGGCCTTAGTACCTATATGGTTGCCCTCTTAGTATTCAGGCACTCATGAGGCCTACACTGTTTAGTAATTATGTGGCAAAGTGTTGCTACTGACTGTCTAAATTTATGTCAGGCCCAAACTTGGGCCTACACATGTGTTCAGCATTTATGGTACAGTCTGTTAATAATCTGTCTTATTTCACTGTATGTCAATGCGTACACTGTTTTAGCCTTTTCTGGGCTTAGCACGGGCTTAGTTTATCGTACTTTAAAATTATGTCGGTCATAATTATGTCTGTTCTATGGTTATACGGCCATATACATGGTCCTTAT